ATTCAAACTGACCAATGAGCGCGCGCGATAGATTAAAAATGACGATAGCGTGTTTTGATACTCTCATCAAACATGGTTTTCGACCAATCCTAGCGCGCGTAGTATACCAATCATTTTATAAAGTGGAATCAAAGTGTCAATCCAAAGCAAAACTTATATTCGCTTTTTGCTTATTTCCCATATATTTTCTATAAAAAAACCCTGACAAAGCAACATTCTAACACAAATGCAACAAAACATCTTTATACAATTGAAAATACCCGCCGCTTCAAACAGGCATTTTATCATAGTACATCAGTTTCTAACTGGTTTTGAGTGTTTACCCAAAACGAAAATTGGGATCAAAACTCATACGAAAGTCTAGTTTTTGGCGCTTTTTGCCATTATTGCTCATTATAGAAATAAATGTCTCCTATTATTAGCTACGTCCTTGTATCCTCGATGCATTGATAGTAATAATCGTTCGATTACATCATGCTCAAGTGTCCTTGAAGAGACCGCGTGCGTTTAGCAATTGCCAACACAGTTGTCAAGGTTTTCGAGAGGAGATTTATATTAGTCTATTATTTTTCTTCTCTTGTTTTGTCTTATGTCTTCTTTTCTCTCATCTTCAATTGTCTTGTTTTGTCTTGTCTTGTCCTGTTTTTTCTTGTCCTGTTTTATCTTGTCCTGTCTTGTCTTGTCTCGTCTTCCCTGTTATATTTTCCTCGTTTTTCATACTTATAACCAACACGATATTTTAAAACAGAAAAGCATTAATAGACTCGATCTTAACATCTGAAAGACCGAACAGAGAAACTTTGTAACTATAGCAATAACGTTGCTAGAATAGCTTAAGAATTCCCCTTAAAATACTGTTAAACCCTCAAATACATCACACTGGTTTTGACGCTGAACAGGGAAACAAGTGATTCTGAAGTATTTTATTTTTTCCAAGATTCTCAGAGAGCGTATAGTTAATGATCAGAAAGGTAAGTATGATATGGACGCATCATTATAGTAGGTGTTTAAATATCGACACGCTATCATATTTGTTCCTTTAACAAAGGAGATATTTATTATTGCCGGTTTATACAATGTATCCAAAGAGCTTCCGATTTCAATTATTTCTTTAATATTATTGGAATTAGCTGTGACTGGCGTGAAATCATATAGAGGTAGACATGATAAAAGAAGATGTAGGTCTGTGTTTACTGATGTTTATATACAACATCACTCTATGAAGAGTAGTTTTAATAAGTAAAACTGCCATTTTTATTCCAAAATTCTCATTTTCTTCTTCCCATGCCTTTTCTCCCTTCCTTCCTTCAGTTTTCTCTTTGAGTTTCTTTAAATTTGTAATCCCTTAACTATTTTTTTCCTTCCTTTAATCGCGCCTTACTTTCTTGCCATCTTCCTTCATTTCATTTCTTGTGTTCCTTTACCTTTCTTTTCCTTTGTTAATTCCTCAAGATCAGTGCTCATTTATTTAATCTGTTAACGTTAGTTCAATGTTTGTAAAACACTGTGGCCCGATAAAGATTTCCTTACTTCCTTTATTCAATTCACTCTTTCAGTTTCATCAAATATTTCTCAGTTGCCTTCTCTCTCTCTTTTTCTTTTTTCTTTTTTTTTTTTTTTT